TCTGCCATTTCACGCGCAGGTTCCTGCAGAACTTTTTACTAAAGAGTCCTGGTAACCCCAGTGACTTCTTCCTTCACTGTTACCTCTAACTGAGACCACCTCTTGGATTTATCTTATGTAAAGAGGCAGCCTTCAATTCTTCTCTGAAACGCGGGTGAGAAGAATTTACTCCTCCTTCCCTTCCCCATACTGTGGTCCTTCTTCCCTCTTCCTTTTTCTACCTCCCCTTGAAATACTTTCCTATTTAATCATGTTGGACTTTCTGTGGACTTTGGCAGGGTTTCCCCCCCCGCTCCATTTTCAACTTTTTCTCATGGGTAGTATACATTTAATACAAGCACCTAACATGGTTTTAAGTAAATCCTCTGTGACCTGCACATATCACACCCTTTTAATTTCTCTAACAGTAGCTCACCCATTTTCATGTAGTTTTAACTTCAAAGCTAGATACTATTATGGTAAATGCTCTTTTTGTCTGTTTCTATTATGGAAGGATATTGAATTTGAATGCATTATCATTATCATTCAGTAACTACATCTCATACAATATTCCATGCATCATCTGGGATTAAAATCTTCTTGGGATTTTCCAACAAGTTTCTTCAAGTTGACGCTTACAGCCTCTAGAAGTTTAGTCACTGCATCACACACTGCCATGATGCTTTACCCCATTTGCAGAGTGGTAGCTAAAAAGTGTCTCCTATTGCACTTTCTACAATCAAATCTCCCCTAGCACATCACAGCCACCATCCTGGTCCAGTAGCTGGGGATACAGCCTTGTATACTTTTCTTAATTGTGCGATGTAAATCACTGCTGGGGATTCTATGGTATTTTACTGGAGTCAAGTTAATGCGCACTGTCACCCCAACTTCTCTGTCACTCCTACGTGTTCTGCACTCTCACGCTGCAGTGTCCTTGGGGTTATCTTCCTTTCCACCAGCTTTCTCCATTGCCTATTTGATCAGTATCTTCATTTAAGACTAAGAGCCCCACCATAGCTCTTCGATTAACACCGCACAGAATATATGCTTTCGGTTTCAGTCTTTCTTGTGTATTGTACTTAACTGGAACTGTAAAGCTTGGCTCCCAAACCCCAGCACAGCTCAGCATCTTGCTGCAGTTACTCCAGCTCAGCCCCCCCACTCTCAGGAGACACACATACTCCTGCTGCACCCACGGGAGAGGTGGGACAAGACACACGCTGCTCCGCAGCAGAACTGGCAACTCCCACCACCTTCTGCTGGGTTTGTAGCTGCACCTCCTGTTTTCTTTTTCACAGGTCACCTTCATTTCTTTCCAGGTCAGCACACACCCACAAAGTTTCATCATCGCTAATATCTTGAGTACTGATATTAAGGAGTTGTTTTCCTGCACGCTTTGCATCTCCTAGTTAACAAAGAAGCTCTATGCAGGGCATCACGTAACCCAAACCCTCTCCTTCAGACTCCCTATTCCCTAAAAAAGTTAACTCGGCACTTGGAAAGACTGAAAAGGAAGACAATGAATGAACTCATTGAATGCACTCATTTAGCAGTCTGGCCAGCAAAGTGTTTCTTCAGTAGTTCTTTGTTTGAACTTCTTCCGAGTTGCAGGTTTTGCACTAGAGATTTTCAGGAAGTTGTAGGAAACGTCCAAACTTGGCTCTTGCTCGAGCAGATTAATTCCTTCTGGAAATTCCACCTGTGCAATAGATGCCAGGAACTTGTGCCCAACCTCTTCCAGATGTGGGGAATGCTGCTCTGCTTCAAGTTTGGTCTAGTTCTCTGCAGTCACAAGGAGACAAGGCTTAACTTCTGTTACAGTAAGCCTGCACTTGTCAAGAGTTTGCACAATCTCTGCCTCTCTGCTTACAACCACCAATGTAACTCAACCCCAGTCTCACTATATTCATCGGGCTGTCCTAGCTAAGAGATGAAGGGTCTTCAAACCCGTCATCTACATCAAGCCAGTACAGCCACCTCAAAAATTTAAGCACACACATTTACAACAGTACTCATGTTGTCCAGGTAGTTTGTCAGAATATAAAAACTACCAGCCACACCAAGGAGATAAGCAGTCATGGTGAGAGGCACAAGTACCACATTCCCCAAACAAGCGCAAGATAAATGACAGGATTTCCAGTTTAGTCGCAGGATTTTAGAGGAACAGTAGGGATTCAGGGAAAAGATAAAAATAAAGGAAAGATTACCAGACCCTTCCAGTTTCTTGTCCTAAGCAAGGACACCACTGTGGCATCCCTGCCCCCTCATCACTGACAGGGGAAGAGGTCTGATGCAAGCTATTGTGAGGTGCAGGACGAAGATGGCAGCAGAAGACCAGACCTTCTCCTCCGGCACTGGAAGCATTGCAGAAGACTAAAAGGTTCACCAGACTGCGGGCTAAACAGTGTCTCCAGATCACGTTTTTTGGCAGCAAGTAGCACTAATAGAAGTGGCTCTTGGGCAATGCAAGCAGCCAGTAACATGTGATTTAAGAGAAAAATGGCAAAAAAGCAGAATAAGGAGGATTGTGTGTGATAAGCCTAGTATGCGCTCTCACCCAGCAGCATCTGGAGAGGATTTTCTCCAGCAGGCAGGGAAGAACTCGATTACATCCAGTTAACTGTGCTCTAAACTGATTATGCATGTGCCAGGCTAATGGATTACATTAGCAAGAGGAAAAATAACATCCAATCAATCTCAATTTACTGCAGACCACACCAAGGCCTGAGAGAAGAGAAACCATTCCGTGAACTACCCCCACTCCCACTGCATCTTTTCAGCTATCAAAAGAGACATGGCATTACAACCACTCTGAAGACTGGAAGAATTGCACTGAAGCTTGCTTGATCCATAGACAGGTTTTTCCATGAAGTCTAACACTGATTCCAGCTACGCTGGAGCCAGAGGCTGTGGATCCAGCCATCCGCTGTCCCCTGCTACAGGCTTTATACAGGCATACTAGAAAGCTAATATACGGACCATACAACAGACTTCATTACTCTGAAACGTGTTATTCTCTGTCCAGTGTTTCACTGCCTTCACATCAGAAGGAATGAAGGGCTATAAGAGCTCTGAGAACCGCCCAGGCCTCTTACAAACCTGAAAACTGACAATTCCTCTTCACCTGTCTGAGCAAAGCATTTCAGGAATCTTTATTACAAGCACCTACAGCTGTCCCTGAGTCTGACTTTGGTTGGCTTTTCTTTCTTTCTCCCCCCCCCCCGAGTGAGAGAATTCTAGTGCCCCGATTGCTTCTTTCCCAGTAGAAACCAGTGTACATGAAGGTCTAGATAAAGAATTTTTAAACTTTTGCAATGTGTATTTAAGAAAACAATATTGTGTTAAAATTCATAATAGAGCTTTCACACAACTCTTTTGTACCCCAAATTGAATTCCACAGAGGAGATTCAATTCCTCAGCTGGATTTTTAAAGTCTCACCGAGACTCTCCTGCCCCTAGCATCCAAGCTGATTTTACTCTCTCAGGTCTCCTGGACATCTGAGAGCAGAGACATATGTGTAGATCTGACCATTTTTAGAGTCAGACCCTCCTGTGCTATGCTGAATCCCGGCTGATGGTGGCAACAGCAATCGTCACAGCAGTCCTGGCCTCAGTAGTGAGCTCAGCAGAAACGTACTGCTCCTCTGAGCAGTTCCCCATCAGCTCCAGGCAGGTCCAACAACCATAGCTCAAGGTAAACCTTCTATGATGCTCCTGGTTGTCTCTTTCCTCTCTGAATTTGCTGGAACTGCTCATTCTTAGGGAAAATCCAGGAGTTTTGAAATCTGATGTGTCTGTACCATGACAGGGATGGGCTACTGTACAGTTCAATGTCAAGTTTTAAATTCCCATTACATAAAGAAAAACATTCAAAGAGATAAGAAGCACAAAATACAGTCTATGTGTATATATACTTATATATATAAAAAAATCTAACCACATTTGGGGGAAAGCAGGAAGAAAAGGATAAGGACAGAAAGAATATAAAAAAACCTGAGAGAAATGAGAAGACGAGTGGGATAGCACGTGTGAATGGAAGGTATGTGGCTGCTTAGATTTATGGCAATTCGTACCTGATTGTTCATACTAAAGCCATTATGGGATGATTAGAGAAAAAGGTGAAGCTTTAAGTCCAGCGAAAATCAATAGAAACGTCTGGAGCAATTCTGCTGCACGAGTGAAAGGACTATTTACTGTATCCGGAGCTCCTCTTGGGTTACAGCCCACAGGGTTCAGGCCAGTGAGGGGAGGGGGTTGTGAATGAGAGAAACAAGTCAGGAAAGAGAAGATGGTTATAAAGAAGACACAAAATGGGGGGGGGGGGGGAGTAAAGAAAACCAGACGACAGTCATACACCAAATACTGCCGTGGATGAAAACCTGCAATGCCTCCAAATACAGTCTGTCCATATGCACAGCCAAGTACCTGCACACGTATACAGGCTTCTCGTCCAGCCTTCTCCCTTTTGCAGCCTCAAGCAACACTTAGCTTACAGATCCCAGCATTAACGTACACAGAGCATAAAAGCACAGAGACAGCGGCCCTCTTCCTCCATCCCTCCCCGCTCCATCCACCCAGCCTTCTCAACGCCAGGATGAACACACTTCTCTGACAACAGCAAAAGCCTTCAAGTGCTCATGAAGAATCTTGTATGGGTTAACAAACTGCCTTATGGAAAAGAGCCAACAAAAGCATGGCAAATACCACCTCACACAATGTTTTCAACAGCGACTGTTGAATTTTTGTGCAGGAGTATTATTTGTATGCAGTGCTATAAGAAATACAAGCCCCCATTAAAGCACCTTGACATGAACACTCATTGGCCTAAGGCTTTAACAACCACAGCTGCTACCAGAACGCAGGATGAAGAGCTGTACCATGCAAGTGAGACTGGGTCCCGCTGGAGAGATCTGAGCAGCTCGTCTCCAAAGGATCACAATCCACTGCGGTTCAAAATAGATTCTCCTTTGTTCCAGCACTTGGGCAATGAAGGAAGATGAAGCAAAGCCAACCCTTACCTTATAGAGCTTCAGGCTGGCCTCATGCCTCGAGTTCACTGTGTGAAGACGCAGCTTCTCTAGACTGTTGGTGTAGTAGTCACAAGCATTGCATTTCAGATGTACCGGATTCCCAATGGCCACACACTTCAGCCTCCACTCATTGGCCTTGCCACCCTCCTTGATATGTGCTACCAGCTGGTATTTCTGCACATGCTTGTCCGTCTTACAGTGGAGTTGGAAGTTTGCCTTGAGCTGTGTGTTGTAGCGGCACAACTTGCACTGGTACGAGTCTCCCATCACTGCCTTCCACTCGTCTTCAGGGAGGCTACGCTCCACATTCATGTGGAGGCCCAGCATGTCCAAATTATCTGTAGTGAACTTGTTGCACACAGCACACTGGAAGAGCTTCAGTGATGGGTCATTTGTTTGTGTGAAACTCTCACCCAAGTTCATTAGCTCCTCAGACACCAGCTGTCCACCACCTAACCGCATGTCCAGGGGGATCTCTCCACCCACTGCACGAAGGAAAAAGGGGAGAAAGAGGTCAGAAAAGCTGAATTCTTTACTTGCCAGAAGAGAAGCACAGAGCAGAGCATACACTGCTCTCAGTGCAACTCTTGCACCCACCAAACGCACAGCAAAAAGCCAAGCACAGCTGTCCCTTCACTTATTCCTCTACGCTGCTGGTCAGTACCATACCTGAAGAAAAAAAAGCAATCGCAGCCGGCACGGAAGGCTGGGAAAGGACCACAATAGCCCTTGCCACCCACCTGCTGAAGGAGAAGTATCCAACCCTCTGCCTATGAAAGGTGGCAAGAAAAACCCTACAAAGTTTCAGAGGATGAAGAATTCCTTAGTACTGCACTGAAAGTCTCTGTGGCCATTTCAAGAACAGCGCACCACTTTATCCTGTTTTCTCTTGCCTACCTGGAGAAGCAAGAAGCGTTACCTCATGCAGTACCTGAGCACAGTTCCTACCAAATAAAAAAGGTCAACAGTCACAAGTCCACATGATAGGGGTACTACAGTTAGGTCACCGCACTGCCGTCAGAAGCGGGCAACAGTGCAGAATGTGGCAAGTACAAAAAACAATCCGAAAAGTGCCACTCCTGCACTATTATATCCCATCTCTTGCCCAAGAGTTCAAAATGGCGGACAGTCTCCTAAAAACAGCGTTGACAGACGCTTTGTATGCCCAAGGAAAAGAAAACCACTATTAATAATGAGAGTGCAAGAGCATGTCAAGCAAAGCCAGCAGGATGCTTACTGTCTTTAAGTGTCAGATCTACTCTTCAAACCAAGAGCTGAACTCTATTCACTTACAGTAAATGAATGCAGCAAGCTCTTATTTACATCAGAGCGCTCTGAAGGTATGGACAGAGACACTTTCCTTTTCTAACATTAACTTTTTATGCCAAAGCACAGAGACCAACCACCAGTCTCTTCTTAGGACCTTTGCTCCACCTTGCTCTCCTTTTCCTTTTTTAAGACATTTAGGCTCCTCCTGCAGCTTTTTGGTATTTTACCTTGATCTTACGTCATAGGTCAGCTTAACAATCTTATTAAAGGAACCTTCAGGTCAACAGTTAGTCAATCAAAAAGAGAGATTTTATTTTCGTAACTTTTAGTTTCCTTTGTTTCAACCTGTTTGCTGAGAAGCAGCCAACACTAGGAGGACACTCAAAGTTCAGGCAGAACCGTACTAACCTTTCTGAAAGCATACAACCAACCACAGTTGGTGCAGACCACAGCTTTGGGCAGTGTACATGCTACTATCTTTCCTGCAGAAATGCAATACCACAATGTTTATTACAGTCCTAAGCAGGATGAACTACAGCTTACAAGACAACCTGGATGCTGAGCTTGTTAGAGGAACAGCACCTCATTTTCATCAAACAGATCTTGTGCTCACACAGAGAAGAACAGCTTGGAGAGGGAAAGTCCCATCTACATGCACTGTCAGGAACCTGTCTTTCCATCAGAGCAGTCAACAATCTTTTTTCTTGATCCACTCTATCCCTCCCTGCCATGGCAGAATTATACCCTCCGTACAGTTACTCCTGCATACCTGCTCACTAAATATCAGAAGAGCAGGGAACACACCTCTTGCCTTCTATGGTCCATATCTCCTAATTGTAGTGATTCTTCTAAGCATCCCTTTTAGGATATATCCTGAAATCCTCTCTTTAAATCAGTCTTTCCTGAACACATTGTGCAATAAAAACCCCAAAGTAGACTCTTATGAATTATTAATATTCTACTCAAATTTAGTTTTGGACTGAAGTGTAAAAATGGGAAAAATCTTCTTCATTTCTAGCAAAGTTCATAGTGCGTGTATATGAGCCTAACGAGCTGAGCTCATGTCAAGTGCTTATTGACATGGGAATGGCCTCCCTCCGCAATCCTCAGCTTGAGATTTGCAACCATCAAGTGTACAATTCCCAAATCACACTCCAGGCAAGCTCACATACATTCAAGGCCTCGTCATGCACTTTAGGAAGCTTTACTTAAAATACTCCCAACTTCTCTCCTGCCAACTGCCCTGTGCTTCAGTAAGGAGGGTCTCTGAGCTCCAAAGGGCGCCTTCCAAGAAACCCACTACAGATGACACCCTAACTTCATACTCTACAAGCTATATTACAAATGACTGTCTATTACATCTGCTGGCAACTTGAAGCTATTGAAAATGAACTAAAAAAGACCGTGTCCTTGATCTCCCAAAGATGCAAGCTGGGATACCACAGGGGGGGAAAAAAAAAAAGGGAAGATAATTACTTTAATTTACAGTCACGAGTTCCTCTGTTTTCTTTTTCATTTTTTTAGTATCTTGTGTTGTTGTTTTCTCATATGACTTTCATGTCCTTCTGGACTAATAACAAACTGTACTATGAATAGCTGAAGGAAAGGAGAACATGCATGAGACCAGTGAACCAGTAATGGAGCGCATCAGTAATAACAGCATCGATGGACAGGGTTAGGGAGGGCAGAGCGCAGCACGGAGAAATTAGTTCAGAGGAAAGCACGTAAAGTAGCAGATTCCTTTTTACATACTTTCTCAAGGCACTGTGAAAAATTCTCAGCAGCAGCAAAACAGCATAAAGACAGCAGTAATTTCAGTCGGCATCTGCCACACCTGAAGCACGGGGGGGTCTGTTCTGCACCAGTTCTCATCCTAGAGTGCTGTGAAGTTTAAACACACCAGGAAGCACGTGCACACTGGAAGCGGCTGCTGCTGGCCCTGGGCGACATAAGCAGCACAGGGGAGGAACGTAGCAGGACCTGACCCTCTATCCCCACTCTAAGTCTAATTCTTGGGCTAAATTGTGTGGGAATAGGGTGTGCCCCATACAGCGCCAAGCACAGCGCCAACACAAACACGATGAATGCTCGTTGTCAAGAAATATCCATTTGGTAGTTCATTTTTAAGTGCTTTTCTCATCTGATGAGAGAAATAATCTTCTCTCTCTCTCTAGCCATTTCCCTCCAGTTTAATAATTCTCATCTGGTCAAGCTTTGGATCTTTTATCTCCTGCTGGCATCAGAGGAACGGTTTCAGCTCAGTTTCTTCAGCAAAGGAACACCACCCCTTCCACCGAATTCATCACAACTCTCAAAACTTGCTTACCTTTTCTTCTCAGGGCAACACAGTACATAACAAACCGGCTCAACATCTGCCTCTGAGAGCGCCAGCAGCTGATCAGACCCTCACACAAACTACTCACACCCCTTACCAAACCAAGGAAAAATCATTAGGAAACAGTGTAGTAAGGATGCTTTCCACGACGAGGAGGAACATTTAATACATGTCAGCAGTAATCCATCCATATCTACTATTTATTAGCTCCCTACTAAAACTCTTAGAAAACGCACCAGAAAAGTAACATATTTTCCCAAGATCGGAAAAACTGGCCTGGGGGAATGCAGAAGAGAGGTCTCCACTGTGTAGTCTCCATCCTTGACCACCACGCAAAGGCAACTCGCTGCACTGCGGCCACGCTACTCAGGGGGCCGCAGGGACAGAACAAAGGGACTTGGCACGCAGCGCCCAGTCTGCGCACGAGGGTTTTGCGGTAACGCAAACGCAATCCCTCCCTTATACATGGACACGGTGGAAAACCCTTCAGCCTCACCTAGAGATGGAGCCATCGTTGCCATGGGGTTGGTGGGATCTAGCTGGAATCCACCCATCATGAACTGTGCATCTGAGGAAGTGCTGTCCATCTTCAAGTTGGGAAGGTTCATGTTCTGTGCCAGGTAGTACTGGTAGAGCTCGGCCTCGGCAGGGGACGGCAGGCTGCCGAGGCCCAGGTGCCGGTTGTGTTGGATTTGGGACATATTTTGCTGAAGCAGCATCATATTGTGCATGTGCTTCTCACTGGTCATGTGAATACGAAGGTTTCTAGCTACGTTGGTCTCATAGTCGCACACCTCGCACCGCCACGTAGGTTTGGTTTTTGGTTTGGTGGGGGAGGGGGCCCCACAGGTGCTACCAATGTTGGCTGCCGCGGCCGCCGCGGCTGCCGCGGCCGCTGCCGCGGCCCCAGCGGTGTGGCTGAAGACTTGCTCTCCCCCTCCGTTCTGCAGGTTTTGCATGTTGTTGAGATGCTTGTCGGACTGCATATGAATACTGAGGTTGCCTTTGGTAGTAGTGGAGTAGTTACAGACCTCGCAGCGGAAGGGCTTGTAACCACAGGTGTAGCTCTCACCCCGTGCCAGCCGCGGGTGTGGCTGTCCACTTTTGCAGTAGACGCAGGAGCCCCCCGGCTCGGGATGTTTCTCCTTCATGTGCGCCTCAAGTGTCTGCTGGTACTTGTAGTGCCAATTGCACTTGGGACACTTGAGTGTCTTACATGAGTTGCGAGAATGCATCATAGTCATGTGGCCACCCAGCGACCGCGAGGAGCCCAGGACCGTGTCGCACTTTGGGCACTCCACGCCGCTCCCCGAGGGGCACTCCCCACCCCCAAGTTCACAGAGGGGGCCAGCATGCTGGTGATGGGAGATGTAGCTCCCGTCCTCACCCTCCGCGCTCTCATTTGGTTCTGGTGCTGTGGCATTGTCTTTATTGGCACTTTCATCGATAAAGTCCAGCCTCCTGCTGCCCTCTGCCACACTGGCTCCGCCACCCTCATTGTTAAAGCTTAAGTGATTCCTCCTGTTTGCACCATCAAAGACAAAGGAAGAAGCAGAATTAGAACTAGTAGAAGCTGTGCCCCGCGACAGGGTCTGGAGCACGTTAGGCATTAAGGGAGAGTTAGAAATGCTTTGGTTTGAGAGAGCAAGGTCCTTTTTGCTGCTGCCGCCGCCTGCCACAGCCCCAGCGTCCTCCTGGGGCCGGTCCTCCAGTTCGTCCTCCAACTCGCTCGGAAACAGTCCTTTGCAACCCTCATCGTCCTCGTCTTCTTCCTCTTCCTCCTCCTCCTCTTCCTCCTCCTCCTCCTCCACATCCTCCTCCTCCTCCTCCTCCACCTCTTCGACCGGCTCTGCCTTTTCCGAGAGGCTGTCCTGGTCACCCCCCTCTTGCTTCTCCCCCTCTGCCACCCCAGGGTCCTTCCCCTCTGAGGATTTGGTGGGACTGGAAGCCAGCGGGCCCAGGGGGACTGAGGTAATGGGAGTCTTCAGAGCTGAGCTGGTCAGCCCGCCCAGGTTGAGGAGCGTGCCAGGGGCCAGGACGCCCGCCGGCGGTGGCTCCGCTCCGCCGGCCGCCCCGGCCTGGAGGGCCTGCTCGCCTTCCATGCAAATGCCACTGAATTTACCATAAAAACTGTGTCCAGGGCCTATGAGGTTAGCTGCGGAAACGAGAGGGTGCTGAAAGGTTTTGTTTTTTGGTTCCAGAAAGCTGACAAGGGGTTCCTTGTCTTTGCCTATCCCTTGGATGATAGCGGAGATGTTCTTATTGCTAAGAATTTTCCGCTCCTCCTCACTCAGAGTCATTCGGTGGTCGTGCACCGCGTGGGTCACGAACGAGCGGACATACCCAAAGGAGAGCTTGCACAAGAAACACATCAGGATGGGCTTCCTCTTCCCGTAGAGCACAAAGCCATCGAATTTGGACAGGTCCACATTGTTGGGAACATCTTTGGATACGCAGGAGCTTTTGGCAGAACCGTCGCTGTTCAGGTAATCCTTGTTGCTTTTGTGTCGCACATCGAAGACGCGGAAGCTGTGCAGGACGGGGCTGATGCCCGCCAGGGCTGAGGTATTCGGGAAGGCCTGGTCTGAGCCCTCAAACCACTTCCCGAAGGATGAGGCTATGTGGAAGGTGTTGATGATCTGTGGGTAGACGGGAGCGGCGGCGGAGGGCTCTCCCTGCTTGGGCAGAGAGTTCGGGAGCAGCGAGGAGAGAGCCCCGCTGCCGCTGCCGCCTCCACTCTGCACCAGCTGGCTGAGGCTCTCCACGATGTAGGCCGAGCCGTCCGGCTGGTAGACGATCTCGCCGGCCAGGTTCTCCACGTCGCTCTCCTCCTCCCCGTCCTCGCTGCTCTCGCTCCCGCTCTCCCCCCTCAGCGGCGGGGGCGGGCGGGCGCCGGCACAGCGGTGCTCCATGTAGCTCTGCAGGCCGGCGAAGGAGACGGCGCACTGGCCGCAGCTCACCTCCTTGCCGGCGGGCTCGGCGCCGGGGCCGGCCGCGGCACTGCTCTCGGGGACGCGCTCGGGGAAAGGGACCCTCAGGCTGTCCAGGGGGCCGCGGCTCTCCGCCGCGGGCTGCTCCATGCTGCCGGCCGTGTCGGGGAGGTGGGCGCTGTTGAGATCAGTCCATTGCTGGTGCTGAGGGATGCCGCACCCATTGTCCTTCCCAGGGATGACGGGCGAGTCACAGCCTTCCATGGCAGGGCCGGCACGGAGCGCTCATTGCACCCGGTACGGCTCGGACCTGCGGGTGGGGACAGAAGGAGAAAGGCGGGTGAGTCGGGGAGCAGAGGCAGTTCCCGTGAAGACCCCCCCGCCACCACGAAGGCCACCGACCCCGCTCTTCGGGACCGAACGGGAGGCTGCGAGAGCTGGTGCCCCGAGATGGGCTCCAGGAATAGGCGGGCCGGTCTCGGGTAATGCACCGCTGGAAACGAGCAATGGAAACACAACGGAAGGAGGAACGCAAGAGGCAAATCGAAGGGACCTGGAAGGTGGTGAGAACTTCCCCCACCACCTTTCCCGAAGTGGGGCAGGAAGACCGTAGGACCCGCACTGCCACCCCCAAAACCTTACATCTTCAGAAAAACAAACAAAAAACTGAACGAAAATGTAACAGAAAAGCTTTTGACAGAAACAGAGTTAAGACGCTACAACAAAACAGCGCTCGAGCTTTAAAACTTTGTAAAAATTGTACTCTGCGGCTCCCTCAGCCAGATGCTGTTATTTTGGGGTGATTCCCTCCTGTTAACGGTTCAGGAAGCACAAAACCGGAGCTACCACACGTGCACCTCCATGGTAGACCATGAGACCCAGAGCAACTCACAGAGATTTCAGAGTAACAGCGTTTGGTATGCACAGGAGATTTAATTGCTGTGTTCTGGACAGAGTTTAAACAGGGAGACGTCAGGAGAGAAACCAAACAGGAAATTCCAGATCTGACAAGGGTCCATCCTGGGGATCGGAAAGCGGTCAGCCCACCACGCTCCAGGAAGCTCCCAGAGATCCTGCAGGGCACAGCCTCTGCGCACAGACGGCTTCCTCTCAGCCCCAGAGGCAAATGGCCGATGCTGGTCCTAGAAGAGAAGGAAGGATGCCCTTCCCGCTATTTCTATTCCACCAAATACAACAAGACCAGGAGGACTCCCGCTGACTGCCAGGCAGCCAGCAAGCACGGGCTGCTGAGCATGGCCCACATCCACAGCTCCCTGCCACCTCTACCCCATTTGCTGCATCCTGCCAGTCTCTCGCACTGCAATCCTAACGGAGCCAGTTTGGCAGGACACGCCTTTCTAGAGGTTACAGACCTATGAGATTAGATAGTGCTACTGTTAGGACCTGGAGCATTGTAATGCAGACCACAAAGCAGCAGGAGATTGCCAGTTCAGCGGCAATCTTAACAAGAATCCTGTCTGCAAAGAAGCACTTCTGTAGTCTGCTTCCCATAGAGAGCTCCTATGCAAGCCACATGGGAGGAAACACCAGCAGAAATTAAAGCACTGTTACCTCAACTGTAAAAGTGATTTTTACCTGTGGTCCACAGATTTCCCATCTATAAAAGTGATTTTTACCTGTGGTCCACAGATTTCCTCGGGTATACAGATACAAAGCATCCACAGAAAACAACTGAGGAAAAACTGCGCAAGCACAGGCCAACTTCACCACATTTTTACAATCTGTGAACCAAGAAACAACAAAAGACTCATGCTCCAGATCCGTGGTCATCAATGCCACACGGGAATTTTTCCACAGTATTTTACCTTCTACCAACTGAGCATAAGCACCACTTTGCTTGTCAGACTATGCCAAAACTGAATACATGCTTGGGGAGAGTTTTTACTGATAATTAGTATAAGGGTTAGGGGGGCAGGGCAGGTTTTAATTTAACAATAAGCTGTTACTCTTAAACTGACTCAGTGGGATCTACTCTAAATAACATATTTAAAGTTATACAAATTCTTTTAGTTCTTTCTCTAAACCTCTCTCATTTACTACAGCTTCCTCAAAGTTGCTCTCACCTGAGCATCCTCCAAGCAGTTGCTGCTTCAGCTCATGAGATACTCCAAGCAGTGCACAGTGCTGGAGCTCTGGCTAGACCAGACTATCCGTCAGGACCCCCTCCACCCGTTTGCACGCAGCAGACTGGTGTACGTACCAGCTGACACCTCGGGGGGTTAAGGTCTCTCCCTTCAAAGGCTCCACTCACATTAGCAGCCTGCTGCCACCCTTGGTCTCTTTCAACAGACACTATCAGTGTTTTGGGAACCTACACTGCTATCTAAACATTAAACATTATAATCATAGTTTGAAAGTGTTTCCAGTGCTCTCTAGCTCGATTTGAGCCCATGAAGACCTGGAAAACCCTTGCAAGCTCCTGCAGAGCAGCGTGCCCATACAGACAACAGCCCTTTCCCCCACGCATCCACCTGCCCGACACACGCTGCACGCAACTGTGCCAGTGCACGGGGACTCATCTGGTGCAGACAAGCAACCGGCATTTCAGCAACTGGGGAAAGAGAAGAAAAGTATGAAAAGAACTGAAAATTTGCCAGAGAAGACCTGATCAGTTACAAAGCAGGTGACATGCCACAGCAGCACTGAATGAATTACCTAAATTAGTTCAAGCAAACAAAAATGGAGCAACTTTCAACATTATCTCTTTTTTTCCTGGTTTCATTATCTACCAGTTTATTATCCTTTACTACATGAAGCCATCCATACTTTTTCTGATCTGCCTTCATGTGTTCATATCTTCCCTTTACACTGTTTCCTACATAATTATGTACATGTAATGACAGATGCATGTACGTGCATGTCAGATGCATGTACATTTATACACCTTCACTTTTTCCAAGCCCCTCTTCATCCACAACAATGGAAATTTATAACTTCTGTGATATTATAGATTAACATTAGTAACAGTATGTTAGAACAGATACGATCCCCCTAGGTGAGAAGAAGGTCTCTCTCCCCTATTCTCCAAATATTGCAGTTCCTTTTGGGGGTTACTCCTGCACACTCTTTGGGAATACAATCCCTAAATGCTTTTGCCTAGTAGTTATTTCAGTGCTTCTGGTGCCTTTTTCCCTGCCCTGGCGAGCCTCCCGCTGCAAAGGAAAGAAAAAGCTCTCCTCGCTAGCACCAGAAAGCACTCCAGCAGTTAAAGGGAGCAGGGGGATGTGTCTTCTGTCTGATCTCACCCCTGCATCAGCAGTAAGGCTCCCCTACACCCAAACGCTACTCCTGGGCCGCGGAAAGCAGAAGTGGAACAGGATGAAAGCAAGTCAAATCTTTCACACTGCTGACCACCAGACTGGGATCCTGGGCATGCCCGTATGAAGGTATCTGGGCAGGTTTTTGTCCTATTTTACTTCTGGTGAAGCTTGAGAAAAAGTATTTACAATTACGTGTGAAGGTAGAAAGTAACATTTTTCAAAACAAGTATGGCAAGGATGCCTACGGAAGGACATGGATCCAGAGCGTTCACAAGCAGTATTACCTTACAGCATTTCCAGTCCCCACCTTCCTTGGATTCTGTGCCATACACAGTGGTCTTTGTGGTTGCACTGGGAATAAATAGTGATTTGATCTGCAATAAAAATAACCTGGTGCACTGAGTGGAACAAGAAAGAAGACTACCATAATCCTGTTGCCAAAATGTTCAGTCTTCCTAATCAGTTTTGCTTACCTTAGCTAAAACGACACTTCAACACTGCATTGTAACAGCTCTTACTTGCACCAGCTGTCTCCCACTGAACATTTGTCCCTAGCTGTATGTTTTCTTTAAATTGCTCCCAGATCCTTCTGTGTTAAGGCTGCATATTCAGCTTCCCACAACATGACATACTCTCTCCCTCTCACTGCCACCTTTCAGATTGACAACCGCAATCCAAATTAAACCAAACCAAATTCATATTGGGTGAAAAAAAAAACCCAGTAAAGTAAGAAACTCCATAAGCTTTGTACTTCTCCCAAGAAAAGTTTTGATAATATCTATGCAGACTTCAAAATGCGATGTGGAACAACAGCACCCCAGAAATGCTTTTAAACAAAAAGCATTCACCTTGCCAGCACAGCTACCCAGGAAACATGCCTAGATGAGATACAACATGAACCTGAGCATCTCCATTATCAAGAACTCTTGATTGGCAGGAAGATGCCTGACTGACAGTTGGGCCAAAAGGGTTAGCAGGGCGGATGGGGCGGGAGGGTTAACAGCCTGATTGTAAAATCAATGTAATAAATGCTTGGTAAGTTACAGGAACATGCGGGAAGAGGAGGCCGCGATTGATAAAGGACTGCGGCTTTGATGCTGCACTGGGGACTTGTTTATTGACAAGAAAGCCAATCTTCTCCCAGCCAGGCCAGGCCAGGCAAACCTGCAAACGCTTACCAATTAATTGGTGGGCTTTTCTGCCTTGCATTGCTTTAACATCTCTCCCCCCACTCACTCCAAGTTAACCAGCTCAGGAGGTGCTACTCTGAAGGAATCTTCTCTCCTCTCCCTTTCCTCGACACGGAGGAGCCCTTCCAGGGCAGGCGGAGAAACCCACGGCTGAAACATGGCCAGCCAGGGCCCCTGGACACCGGCCGAGCTCCTACGCAAAACCCAAGGTTTTCTTGCCCATTCCGTTCATCACCAGAGCTATTCCTGAAGAACGATGCTGAGGGAGGAAGAGGCACAGAAATATTTGTTTCTATTCGCACAGGAACTGCAGATATCATCCCTTGAAACTGAAAAGAGCAATTTCCTTTTTAAAGCAAACCAGACTCTAAGCAGGAGTACCATGCAGTTACTAGTCCACTATTATGGGCCCTGTATCTTCCTCCATCCCAGACCACCCCTAAGCAACCTGCATGGGACAAGGAGAGCTTGCGAGGACAGACCCAACTGCTGTGCGCTCCACACCTCCCGTCCTCTCCCTGCCCCCCGCCCTCTCTGCTCTGTTTATCAGCCAGTCAATAAGAAAAGGTAGTTCTTACTTAAGGAGGCAGAAGTCAACTCGTCAGGTCGATCAGCACTCTGTCTGTAAACATGGTTTCCCGTAAAATCAATGAACTCCAGTTACAGAGAGAACAGCCTGAGCGCCGGAGACTCCCCGCGCTCCCACCGCCCCAGCGGCAGGGGAGGGCTCTCCCCATCCCCTCTCCAGCCTCGGGTCCCACCACTGCTCCACACCGCTCACGGCGACCCCCGA